GTTACACCTCTCTTTATCTCCTTGCACTGGCTACCGGTTGCGGCTCGCATCAAGTTCAAGACATTGATGCTTGCATATAGAACAGGCTCAGCACCCGCCTACTTCCACTCACTACTACCAATCTACATCCCCTCCAGAAGTCTGAGATCCGCTAGTGAGCGATGCCTCAAGGTACCATCACAGAGAGGCTCAAAATCCTCTCTTTCCAGAACATTCTCATTCACCACTCTTGGCTGGTGGAATGATCTTCCCACCCCTATCCGGAATGCTGAATCCCTGACAATTTTCAAGCGACAGCTGAAAACTCATCTCTTTCGAAGCTACTTGACTTCATCATAATAAAAAAATTATCTCTCTTTATTTATTCCTTCTCTTTCTAGCTTGTACTTATTAGAACAATGTCTAAGAACTTGATATTACAACCACTTCCTGTGTCTGTTTGCCTCTTTAAGAAGAATCGCTTTATGTATCCTCCAATTGTAAGCCGCTTTGGATAAAAGCGTCTGCTAAATGACTAAATGGAAATGTAACATCTCTTTGGATTTGAGACTTTAGTCTTTGCAACTTTACAGATCTTCTTTATGCACCAAGAGCTTGTAACACTCCAAAGAGAAAGGAAAAATTGAAATCGCATCATATGACCCCTTTAAAATGTTGATTACTTAATTACTTCCTCCCAATAAAAAGGAATTAAAAAAAAAGTGTATCAGTAGGCCTATCGTTTTAATATAAATAACAAGACAAGATACACTTAAGGCTCGTAGAAAAGCTGTTACTGGTTTTCAAAAGCCTATCAGGAGCAGCTGATCCAGGCCTGGTTCTACGGGGGTGATAGAGGGTGCTAAGCACCCTCAAACGAAATCAAAAGCACCCTCAGTTAAAACTGTATTAATTATTGAATATTTGGCAAACTATCCAGTGCATTATGGTTTGCGCTCTGGAGATCGATTTCTATGTCAATGTGTTTTTGCAGCGTTGAGCAGTATAGCCAATCATAGACATATCTGTTGATTTCTTGAATCAATGGCGTTTAAGTTAGAATCCACTCACCGCTCAAATCGCCGGAGTTTTTGTTCTGGTATTGTGTTCAGCATGAATCATCTCATTATAACAAAGTGTTGACGCGTTGTGCAGCGTATAGAACTTTATTGATAATAACGTATCTTTGTGAGATTGTGATGAACTAAGATGAGTGACAGCTTTTTAGTGATTATGAGCGTTCTTTGCGCCATAGCAACGGACACCTATATATATAAAAGATCTGTTATACTTCAGATTGAGGAACACATATTCACTATTAACTAAGAGGTTTTACCTCAATAAACTCCTTGCTGCTTATTGATAGTAAGGTAGTTGTTTGAGGTTAGGTTTATATTCTGAGGGTTAAGGGATATGGTCATGCAGAACAAGGCATTAATATGTGCTTTGTAAGTACTAATAAACAGCAAATATGCTAGTGCATGCTAATAAGCAACTAACGAATAGTGTTCCCCATCTAAAGTGTTACCAAATATTCATATCAATGACATATCTTAACAAATAATTTGTTTTTTTTGTTTTAACATTACAGAGAAAATGACTTGTTTAAGTGAAGAATTGAGGAAAATTGATAAAATCATCAAGAAAAGCATCTTAGTTGAAGACAGTAATCCTGCTCGATACCATCTGAAAGCAGAGTCTGACAATTTGGATCAATTTGGACCATATAGACAAATAACCTTTGGAGAGAGAGACAAACAGAAACCACATAAAACCATTCTGATGGCTGGAGAAACAGGAACAGGTAAAACAACTCTGATCAATACGATTATCAACTACATGTTGGGTGTTCAGAGAAAAGACAAGGTTTGGTTTGAGATCACAGATGATCAGAGTGACCGAACATCAGTTCACAGTCAGACCTCCAGCATCACTGTTTATGGGTTTTATCTAGAAGATAGTCCAATCCATTTAACAATCATCGACACTCCAGGATATGGAGACACACGTGGAGTTGAGCTTGATAAACAGATTGCTGTGAGTTTGTTTAGTTTAAGTAGATTTGATGACTGTGTCCATGAAATAGATGCAGTGTGTCTGGTGATTATGGCACAACAAAATCGACTCTCTGACAGACTCATATACATATTTGATGCTGTTCAGTCTCTATTTGGAAATGATATTACTGAAAACTTTGTCTTGCTTTTCACACACTCATCTGGTACTCAACCTAAAAATGCTCTGACGGCTGTTAAAGCGGCTAAAATTAAGTGTGCAGTAAATGACAAGAATCAGCCTGTGTTTTTCCTGTTTAACAACTGTCAGTCAGACGCCGCTGATGAAGAATATGAAACGATACAAGAACATGCATGGAATCTCAGTTTCAGAGGAATGGCAGGATTGCTCAAGTTTCTTGACGACATAAAACCAAAAACCTTGAAAGTGACTCAAGATGCTTTACAAGAATGGAAGCAGTTGGAGGCAAATATCTCCAATCTACAATCACGAGTTCAAGAGATGAAACAAAAAGAAAATCAGCTGAAGCAAACTCAAGCAGCTCTGGAGCAGAACAAAGAACTTGTCAAAAACAATAAGAACTTTGAGTATGAAGTTGAAGTGCCCTACAAAGAGAAGGCTGATATTGATTATTCTCTGGCCAACATGGCGATGTGCTGCACCGTCTGTGAGGAGAACTGTCATTATCCAGGATGCTGGTGGATCAGTGGTCTCTCGTGGTGCAGCGTGATGAAAGATAATCACTGTACAGTGTGCACTAATAAATGCCACTACAGTGAACATGTCAAGGGAGCAAAAATGTATGTAGCAAAGACAAAGAAAGAGAAAAGCACATATGAAGATTTAAAGAAGAAATATGATGACAAAATTGGGGATGGTGAGTGTGTGGTCAAGAAGCTGGAAGAAGAACTGCAAGAATTACAGAAAGAGAAAATAAGGCTTGTGAATGAAGCTTTTCACTCTATTAGAGCTCTGGAGAAGATCGCCCTCAACACTGATTCACTGTTTAGACTTCTACACCTTGATTTTCTGATTGAGAAGTTAAAGGAAATAAATGAACCCGAAAAGGCCAAAACACTGGAAAACATTAAGAAGGGAGCAAAATAATAAAATGGAGTTCTGGTACACATACAGTGATTAAAAAAGAAATAAAGTGACAAGAAATTGTGTTTTTCCATGAGATATAGGCCTACACCTATATTTCATATAATGATTATATGCATGAATTGTGACTACAGTTTTCCTATACATAGTGGTGAAAATGATTTTTGCAGATAATGTAGTTCAACAGTTATTGTGTGTTCTGACTCACATTGCTTTTGTTGTGTCACTTAGTGAATAAGTGCTTCTGGTGATGCTTATGTAGAATGAAATGAACTTCTGTTGGGGATACCAGAAATCATACTCAAAATACATTTTTAATAAATTAAAAAAATGTATTGTAACGTGTTTGTTTGAATAAGTAAGAAAACTATTTAACTAAATCCTGCTTGTGCTTGATGAGTGTTGTCAATAATTATTCCAAACATATTACTCTCTCCTTGTGTCCTTTATACAGCAGGGGTTCAATGCAAAATATGCAGTAACAGAAATTATGTCCAGAACAATAACTGGAAACAATACATACTTGTGACCCTGGACCACAAAACTTCAGTGCCATTTTTTTTTTCAAAATTGAGATGTATACTTCATCTGAATAAATAAGCTTTCCATTGATGTATGGTTATAGGATAGGACAATATTTGGTCGAGATACAACTGTTTGAAAATCTGGAATCTGAGGGTGCTAAAAAATATAAATATTGAGAAAATCATCTTTAAAGTTGTCCAAATGAAGTTCTTAGCAATGCATATTACTAATAAAAAATTAAGTTTTGATATATTTACAATAGGAAATTTACAAAATATCTTCATGGAACATGATCTTTATTTAATAGCCTAATGATTTTTGGCCCATACAATGACCCATACAATGTATTTTTGGCTATTGCTACAAATTAGGGATGTGCATCTCATGACTCAAGCCGATACGATACTCATCTCGATGCATAGCCAACGATACGATACATTAAAGATGCATATGAAGCAGCTACCGATGCGATGTGATACGATTCACCCCTGTTACGATGCAGTGCGATCCGATTCAAAACAATGTGATTCGATTTTCATATCGGACAGGGTCAACCACAAATGCCTCTCCGCCGCCACCAGAGCTGCCATGGACCGCCCAATAGCACGGGCGGTCTACTTGGTGGCGCGAAGGGCTAGATCAGCGGTTCTCCTCAGTTCTAAAATGTCATCTGCTTTGACTTGTTCGCCTTCATCTAGCTCTTTTAGCAAGTCGGACTGGTACGCCTGTAACACTGACATAGTGTGCAGACACGCACCAGCCTGACCTGCTGGGCGCGGAGGTAGCGACCTGGCCCGCAGAAAGCGTTCATCGAGTTTGCTTCTCTGCGGCTCAGTCCGTTTCTCTGCGGGCCATTCGATGTTCAATTTGGCATCCGCACGAGTAACTACCTCCATTAGCTCCTAGCTGGAGCTTATATTGGATGCTTGTGCACTTTGGACAGACAACAATAAATAAAACTCACAGAACATAAATCGTGACCGACACACAGAGAGAGCTTCGCTGAATGACAGAAAGCTAGCGCCGGCGGCACCTCACGTGCTTTTAAAGCTTCCTGGTCATGACGTCACCCGCCGCGGATGTCTCGCCCATCGTTTGACTGATTACACATATGATTCAGAGCTTGGTATCGCTGAAGGCGTTCCCCTAGCGTTTTCCGACGCAGCTCGAGTTCCCGAAGGGGAACCCAATGATATTAATACTCTCTCACATACTATTAGACTTTTTTTTTTATTTATTTTTTTACAGTTTCTAGCCATGCAGCCTTTCTCTCTGGTTGTATTACAGCTGTACCTTTTATAGTTTGCAGAACAGATAGCAGGACATTAGAACATTACAATCTAAAATTGCTCTTTAAACCATTAAAATAATAAATTAAAAGTTAAAATTACTGAATTAAAAAGGAAAATAAATAATAAAGAAAGTGACTATATTTTACTTGCTATAAGAAACATATATTAACTCATCTGAGCTTAGTAATTACTGAACTAGCTTACATTTGATTGATCTATTACAATAGTAATACACTTACAGTTACTGCTATCATAAAAATACACTTAAATGTAGGTTTAAAATTCTACAAAAGACACATTTAATGTCCAACAACAAATATTTTAGCAAAATGTATATTTTTATTTATTATTAAATTGCGCTCCTATCCGATTGCACTCAGTCTGTTTAGCGCGCATGCGCGCAACAGCGCTCGTTCTGTCGCGTGCCATGCCCACTCCTGACAGCAAAATGAATATGTTTGCGTGACTTTCTGACATTTACAGATGAAAAAAATATACCTGTGACATGTCAGCTATGCACTGAGGAAAACACAACGTCTCAAATGCATTAAACAGCACAGATATATTCGCTGTTTGCGATGGTGGATCGATTTGATCCATGATCGACATTAAGGGTTGCTTAAAGGGGTCATCGGATGCCCATGTTCCACAAGTTGATATGATTCTTTAGGGTCTTAATGAAAAGTCTGTAACATAGTTTGGTTAAAATTTCTCAATGGTAGTGTAAAAAACACCTTTTTTACCCTGTCAAAAAAAACTCTTTTTAGAGCATGCAGATTTGTAGCATTTTCCTTTAAATGTTAATGAGCTCTGCTGACTCCGCCCCTCTCTTCTGAGCTGCTCTCAGGAAGACTGTTTACTTTAGCTGCATTCATGTGAAACTTGTTAATTAGCACATTATTAGGAAAGGCAATTTGCAACGATTCGTTAAAAAAACTTTACACTCATTTCTTCTGTAGGTGAAGCTGGATCACGAATGATTCGCGCGAACATAAATGCATTTATGTAGATCGAGAGCGCATTCCCTTCAGAAACAAACATAATCCACTGCGTCTTCAGCGGCTCAGATGTTGGGAGTAAATGGCGACTTACATCCAACAACAGAACACCTCAATCGCTTAGGAGTCATTCTTGTCTACATCTGCTCCGGCGGTGAAACAATGGTGGACTGATGACAGTCACTCAGGGCAGAGCTAAGGTAAGATGCCAGTCCAGTCTGTGCTGAAATGCTACTGTCAATCAAACTATCATTGGGGGGGGGCTGTGTGTGACGTCACACAGACAGGCATCTGAGATTGGCTCGATTTGAGAAAGGGGTAAAGATTTTAATAGATAAAAAAAAAAAAACACTGAGTGGATTTTTATCATTATAGGGTAGTTGTGTACACACACTGCCAACACACATTTCAGTTCAAACAACTTGTAAAAGTGCATGTAGCATTCGATGACCCCTTTAAGAGTAAACATGCACAAATTAGTGAGATTGTGTGAAGTTAATTTGTCATTTATGGAACCGCTTTAGCCCCGATTGATTTGTTAGGTTATTTCAAGTCAGGTTTTGGACTTTAATCCCAGTTTTTCCTTGGGTCTCCGTAGTGTTGTGATGCGTCACAGTCATGCAGCAGCAGTGATGAGAAAACGCACTTGAGAAACAGTTTAGAGAGGAGAAATCAATCTACATATTAAATATTGGTTACAGATTATTGGTCACTTTTCTAAACAATAAAAGTATAGCGCATCCACTAGTAATTATATATTAATAAATCGTTTTATACCGATGCAAACATGTTAGAAACGATGCATCGTGATATAAATGTCAACTTGTAGACGATGCACACTTTTTAAAATGCATCGCATCGTTAACTTTTTATGCCGATGCACCGAGCGAATCAGGGAATCTTCTCATCCCTACTACAGATATACCCCTGAGACTTAAGACTGAGTTTGTGATCCAGGGTCACATTTTGTCATTAATCGTTTTATTATACTTATTTTAATGAATTCATATTATTTTTTAGTCTGACTATGCTTTGATGTGCAACACAGAAATAAATTTAAATTGCGACAGAGATCTGTTCTGCATATAATCACAATAATGAAATTAGCCAAAACTCTTCTGAGTTTTTCTCCACCATATGTCGCATAACTAAATAAAGCACGAGTGCGCTCTAATTTAGCCGAGATGTTATTGGGATGGACACTTAATGGACAATATTTCTTAGTGTTTGATTTTACCAATCACCACACGAAGAGACATAACTTTAGAAATAAGGACACCTATTTACAGGAAAGGTTTTATTTACTACAACAATCTTCGAATGTTGTGTATTACAGTTTTTCTCAGTCACTTTGGTGCATTTCTCGAATCATCCTTAATATTTGCAATGAAATATGTGCATTTCTCAAAACAATTTGTACAAACAGCACCACACAATGGATTTCCTGCAAAAGCCTGTAACTTACTCAAAATCTTTAGTTCATCTCTCAAAAGTAAGTATTTATGTCAATGAACATATCAGTGTCATCAGAATGAAAAGTCCTTGTGTCATTGTTCACAAACAAGATAGCCACAATACTTAGTCATGTTGTCAGTATAATAGTGCACTCTGTTAGTATTACCTGATGTAAACTATGGCAACAGTTTGGATGACAATTACTGTATTGAAATGCAGAAGGCCGCACTTTTTATGCATGCCATATATCCATTTCAAAAGTACAAATTTACACGTTACTGTACGTGGGATATTGATTGAAAGAGACTGGATAGGATTCACAGTTACACTTTACTAGTGGTCTGACAAAAAAAAAAAAAACATCACAATATCATTGTGATAGAGAAAATAAATATGGGCAGAAAGGCAAACACAGGAAACACTCCTTAGGCAGAACTTTACTTTTACCTGCAGCACTGTATGAGGAATTGCAGTGCAGTCTGTCTACACCTCCTGACGTGCCACAGATTCTCATCTACATCACAACGAATATCTTCCCTTGCAATGCAATGTGGAATTGGAGTCAAGTGAACCATCTCACAGCTTTATATATGTGGATAAGGCTGGCTTCAACCTGACCAAAAGCAGAAGGTGTGGTTGAATTGTCATGGGCCACAGAGCTACTGTTGATTTGCCAGGCCAACGGGGAGGAAATATCCATTGTCAGAATTTGTTACTCTTGAGTTGTCCTCTGTCTATATGCTTTCCAATTGAAGGTTCATGAGATGCACCTTCAAGCTATTTCAGAGAACTAGTTTATCATTAGCTGATCTACATTCTCTTCATTAGTGAAAGTCAAGATTCACCTGTACAATTCATTGCAAATTTACAAAAAGTCTAATAGAAATGTGTAGAAAATATGCTTGACAGTTTATGACAACTAGATCAACCATTTTGCATTTAATGACTTGTATGATGAACTAATGACTAGATGTTTTGGGGGGTAAGACTATTGCACAGAGAACTATATAATACATTTTGAGCAACATTACATTAGCAACTGATAATGCAGGAAACCGCAGACAAGTGTACATAATCAGTTGCAACTGATGAACCATGGCATGAATGTACCAAAGCAATCGCAACTTGTTCAAAAGAATGAGAAACTGCTTTTATGATGTGCACAATTGACTAGATGATGTGTAGGTTGAACAAGTAGTTTTGAGAATTTCATTTCTGATCTGAGAAATGCACCAAAGCGACTGAGAAAACTGTAAGGTAACAACAGATTCAAAATAAGGTTTAATAGCTTAATATAATTTGTTTTTTGATCAGTAACAAAGCATAATACTAAGCAGAAAAGCAAATACATTGTACATCAGACATAAAGAGCAAACACGTATAATAAAACTTAAAAGTATATAGAAAAGGGTAAAGGAAAAGATAATCAATTCTATAATAAACATTTACACAGATTTCAAAAACCTTAGAAGTTTAGAGTTTCTTGTTTTCATATTTCAAAATGTACAGCTCAGTATCCGTGTTACAGAATGTAGTAGGCCTATACAAAGGCTTTTTCTGCTTTGTAACTATCAAACTTTTCTAACAGCTCACTTTCGTTCGGAAGTTTCACTATTTGCATGTGCAATTGTAATTTCCCCACATGGGACTAAGTGGCAGTGTTTCCACACAGTTCAACAATCTCTTTAAATTGTGCGACTTAAACAGAGAAGTGTTAATACTGTCATTGCTCCTTCTGCAGTGTTCTTTTTCTGTGCTGATAACCTGTTTTCATTGTGAAACATTATTACACTTTTAAAGCTTTCTTTGCTTTATTTCCAAGACATAACAACAGAGAAAAATAGATTATTATTATTTCCGAGATTGATTCATACAAATATTTAGTAAGATCCTAAATGATCTTTGGATAAACATTTATAACTGATATCTAAACAATGATCTATTATACAGTCATTTTAGGAACCTAAATACCTGGGAAACTATCAAAATTGTTGAGGTAGTTAATGATAAGAACACACATTTGTGGGCCTGAACATTATTATTGTGGTACATTTTGTGTGTGTGTTTTGACAGGAATCTTGCAGACCCTCACAAACTGGTTTTGTAAGGATTCAGTTGTAATGTGACGCATCTGTTGTTGTTGCCATGGTGAATTTAAAGAATGGTCACCCTATATAAGGTGGCTTTACCATTCCATCTCTGTCCCGTTCCATCGTTAGTACAGACAACTTTAACAGACACTGTAAAAACCTGAACAAACAGTTATGTAGAAAAGAATGTCTTATTGGTCACCAGCAGTCACACATGCTTCAACTGCTGAATGATCTTTGACTAGTATTCCTGTATACTGTGCTGTCAAAATAAGACTAGAATAAAAAATTGTGATAGTTAGAGAACATTTAAAAACAATGCACAGTGCACACTTAAATAATAAAATATTATTGTGAAAATGATGTTTTATATATTTTATACACATAATGTATTTAATTGATGTGACGTGTAGCCAAGTGTGGTGTCCCATACTCGGAATTTGTGCTCTGCATTTAACCCATCCAAGTGTACACACAGCAGTGAGATATTAATATGTATAATAAGATATGTAATATGTATGTGTGTTTCTATATATCTATATCTATATGTCTACATAAATATTTTCCACCTTCAAAAGCACAAATTTCCATTGCTGGCTGGTTTTGTGAATACAAGCAAGTGACTCGTTAATTAAAGGTAAAATAAATAATTATGATGAGTCAGAAAAAGACTTTATTGTAACATTTTGATCATGTGTATTAAATGACTATTTTCACTTGTCTCTTGTGGGTTTCCATGGGAGACTCTGCAGGTGAATTCTGGTCTGTTTGCAGAGAGATTCCAGAATGGGTGTGTTTGGGTAAGGAGCCTCTGTTTCCCGCTCACGCTCAGCCCATACAGGAGCGCCGGGATCAGTGAGCTCACGGATAGGCCTACGCCATCCTGCATCCTGGATGTTCTCCGCTGATACATCCTCTCACTTACGGATCTCAAGGGTCCTCACTTCATCCCACCTCTCACGGTTACCATGATGACCGATATAAACACGCTACTCACAGTGCATTGAATTATTCACAAGCATGACATTATTACACGTTTATTTTCAAAAACACTTCAACAGGTGAATCTCGTTAAAACTATCAACCCTATTTAAAAGGAAAAATCAGTTATATTTTGCATAAGGAAAATTAAGCTTATTTTTGCATTTTGGCATTATTTTCAGTACAATTAAGCAGATTCCATCCACCAATTCTACTGTATTATTGTAAAAAAAAAAAAAATACAATTGTAATACATCATTGTCATATTTGTTGTATAGAATTTAATTTATGCTCATTTATAAAAACAAGAGAGAATTTCTGCTGAACTGTCATGAAAATAATATAATAATGCAAATGTACAAAATGGCCTTAAAACCCTGCATTTTTAAGCAAAATATAATTTTGTATTTTTTCTTTTGATTTCTGGATTAAAATATGACTACAGCATTTATTTGTAAGATTTGTATTCAGAAAGACATATTCAACATTCTTAATGGTTGTAATTATCTTGTTTACGTTGTGAAAAATGTCAGACGTTTATGAGGTTTTCATGTTCTACATCGAAAGCATTGAGGTTTATTTGTTCCGCTCCCTGTGTAATGTAAAAAGTGCACTCATTTTTATGGATGTAAATATTTGACACCATCAACATTTGATGTCACATTTCAGCTTTTTAAAATTTTATGTACAGCACAAAACATTAACACAATATGAAATGAGCTCAGTCTCTGTCTAGACACCAGCATACGTGCCATTGTAGAAGAAAGGCTTGTCTGAGACACAGTGACCTACGACCTCTGGAGTCCATCTCTGAACCTTTGGCTGGCCCTTCTCATCGGGTCGCACGATGACCGTGCTGTGGGACGCGAGCGAGGGATCCTCGTCGAAAAAGTTGAAGGGACGCAGGAAGAATCCCACCGTGTTTCCTGGAGTCGCTGTGTTGGGAATGTCTTCAGAATGAGGAATGTGTAAGAATCCCACCGTCACCCAGGCAACCAAATCCTGTGAAAAAAAAATATATATAATTGTCAACTGAGTATTTTTTGATTTTTATATATTTTTGTTTATCTAGTAGTTTACCAATTGCTAGTCAGGGTTATTATCATAAATTAAAAGCAAAACTATTTTAAAAAATTGTGTTAATTAAAATACAATAAAAAAAACTAACTAAAAAATTTAATTTAAGTTGAAATACTAAAATGACTAAAACCAAGACTGAAAAAAAATATATATATATAGACATATATAAAAAACACACAGATTACAAATTACTAAAACTTGAAGTAAAATAAAAAAAAAGGAAAATCTAAATGAAAACAAATTCAAAATAACGAATAAAAACTATAGTAGTATATTGATACTAAAATAACACTTTAAATAAATTTAAATTTTAAATTTCACTTTCAAATTTAAATAACACAAAAGTGTTTTATTGACACTGATTTAAGTAGAATTATTATTTGTATTTATTTTTTATTTTTATTTTTTATTTTTGCTGTTCCTGTTGCTATGTGGTTCACAGCTTTGGGCATTTGGAGTTAAAATAAGTTTGATTGATGTTTCCATTTATTTTATTCTTTTTATATCTGTTTACTACATTTTGGGTATTAGTATATTTGGGTAGTATCTGATTAAATTTCTGGTAATCTAGCAGTTTGGCATCTCTTATCAGTGTAAAGCAAATTGTGTATAGTTACTATTCAAACACAGTAATTGCTGTCCAAATATTTTGAATACATGGCTATAGTTTTTTTGTCATCCGATTTTATTTATACACCCATTTAAATACTGATTATGTTGGCTTTGTGTCTACTTTCTAG